ACACTTTTCTAAAGCATTACCTAATTCTGATACACTGAAATCATTAATATTATTCTCCCTTTTAATGAATTTAAAATATATTTATTTGTATTGATTAAAAAATGTATATAAATATGAGTATATTTTACAAATATTTAAAAATGATTTTAAGAGTAAAATTAATATAAAACAAATTTTTGAGTTGGGAAAAGATAAATTGAAAATAATTAAATATATTGTAAATTATATTACAAACTAATTAATTTTCTTTCAAACATAATACAACAAATAAATAATAAAATAAATCTTAAAAAAAATATTTCTACCTTAGGTCTAGTGTCAAATTTGAGAGATTAACACACTTAGTTAAAGCTTAACTTAAGTCTTCAACACCTTTTTCACTCATTTTATTCTCCCTTTTAAGTTCAGATAAATTTGATGTTTAATAAGAAAAATATTTGATAAATTGAAAAAGTAGAATCAGAATATTAACCCATAAAAAAAAAAAAGAATAAATAAATAAAAAGCTATTAAATAAATGAATAAATGAGTGAGTGATAATTATAAATTCATAAATAAAATATTATTTGCTTTTTAATTTTATTTTTAAATATATTTTCTTAAAAATAAAGAAAAAAAAAAATTAATAAAATATTAAATAAAATATTTACTTAAGTAAGAGTGTCAAAGATAATAAATGAGTTTACTTAGCTAAAGCAGAAGATAACTGTGATATACCCTAATCACCAATTAATTTGCGGCTTTTAATTTATTTTTATGTAAATAAATTAGCGCTATTTTTAATTTCTAAATCTATTTTTATTTTTTTCAAATTATTCAGTAAAATATAAATTTTTACAATAAATACTAAAACAAAATCAGATAAATTTTGGTTAAACATATTTTTTTTGATAAAAAATATAATTTAAATTGAAATATAAATTTTTTATTATTAATAAAATAAAAAAAGATAAATTTATATTTGTAAATATTTACAAAAAATAAGTTATTTGATTTTCTTTTATTATTAAATTTAATATTAATATTCTTAAATTAAAATTATATTTTAGATTTTAAATTATCAAAAATCAAATTTTTCTATGAATTTCATTTATATTTCTATATAATCTCATCAAGTCTATTTATTCATAATATCTCTTTGTATTTTTAGAAATTATCTAAGGGAATAAATAGGCTAGCTAATATTAGTTAATTTGGGTTTTTAACTTACAATTTAATTAATTAATTAAATAGGGGTATAAAATTTATTTACTTACTCATTCTTAAAATATTTGAAATAAGTTTAGTGTTTAACTAATTTAATCAAAATTAAAAATTTATTCTATATTTTTAAAGAAATTATTTTCTTAATTGTTTTAGTTTTTGCTTCTCTTTAGATTTGAAGATTTCTTAATTAATGTGTAAAGATAAATCTTAATTTCTATTAAACCAATTACAAAATTGAATTTACTTTAAAAAATAGCTTACATCGTTTTACAGGTAAATTTTGATTAGAAAAGAATCAGATTACAAAAAATAATATAAATAAAAATCTTGATTATAATGCCATAAGTCTTTTATCATGGAAGAAATATGATTTATAAATATTAAATTTGAAATTTAAGATTAACTATCGCCAAATTCTAAACGCTGAATTTATTGTTGAAAAAATGAAATGAACTTTTTTATTTATATAAATCTTTTTATCGCATTTATAAGGTTAGAATAGTAAAGTTAACATCCGATTATTTAATCACGCTTGATTGTATTTTTAATCAATTTATTTCTTTTATTTAAAAAATTGAAAAGGAAATATTTCAACCTTAAGATACTTTCCTTAATTTTTAAGATAATAACATTAAAGGTTAAGACCATACTAAAACATAAATATTTATTAAATTAATAAATAGTAAATTAATTCAAATTTTAAAATATGATAGCAAAATTGCTTTTTTTGGTCTCAATAATTTTATCATTTGCTTATGCATACGAGGTATGCGGGAATCAAGATGGTACTTAGTATTATTGTGAAGATGGGTACGGTTGTTGTTCTACAACTACTTGTGGCTTAAATTGTTCAGGTGGAAAAAATCATGGCTTTCCACGCTATGGGTATGCTCTTATGGTTTTAGGTGTTGTTTTCCTCTTAATTATAAGCCTTAAGTTTTGCTTAGGGCTACGTAAAAAATCTAACAAAAATAAAATTGTATAGAGATAAAAACCATTACTATAGGTTTGATAAATCATTTGTTGGATGATAGAGAAAGAGTATTAACAATTCTTAATATTATTAATCACTAAACTAAAAATCATACAAAAACATAAAGAAATTTATATTATATTAATTAATTAAAAAATATTTTATAAGTATATAAAAATAAATAAAAAACAATCTATTTATTTATAAAGAAAAATATTTAAATTCACTTTAAAACAAATATTTGTTTAATAAATTATGGATTAAAAATAATTACTTTTCACTATAAATTGTTTAAAGCGCATTAAAAATAATATATGTAGCTTAACTAAAGTTTAATTTATGATAATATCTTAAAATATTTTATTAATAAATAAACAAATTATTATTAGCTTTAATCTTAGTTTCTAAATACACCATAATACCTTTATCAAATTATATTAGACACTTAAAATTTAAAAAACTATGAAGTAAATAAATTTTTGTATAAAATGAATAAAAAATAAAGTTATTGTGTGAGTTCTCATTCCAAAAATTTATTATATACTATATATATAGTATCTAATTTCTCATAATAAGTAAAAATATTAATAGAAATTTAGGATTTGAAATTGTTAACCCCTCAAATTGCTTAATATGATGAATGATATTTAAAATGAATTTCAAACAGGCATATAAAATCTTTATATATAATTTAATAAGACACAAGCAAGTATTTAAAACTTTGATCGTTTGTTTTTATCTAAAATCGAGTTTATTTATTCAACTACGAAAATATATATGATGCTTGTAAATATATAAATAATAATTAATATATTATCATATTTTAAATATTATATAATAAAGCATATTTTTTACAAATATTTAATATTTACTCATCCTTTTTCATCACTTGTATATCAGAAATCTAAAAATAATTAAAATAAAACTAATCTGTTTGATTTAAGGCTCTTGCTTTTTATTTTCAAATGCTCTGATTATAATTAGTTTATTCCGTTAAAACTATTATTATAAATTAGCATAAATTACTAAAAAAAATTAAATAAAATAAAATTTTAAATTAAAAATTATATTTTAAATTTTTTTAAAAAAATAAGAGTAATAAAAAAGAAAAAGAAAAATAAATTAATAAATTAAAAAAGTTTATCATTTTTAAATTAAATTTTGTATTAAAAAATATCGTGATCCAAAACAAAAATCTGTTTTTACTCAAGATTTAGTGTCAAGTATAAGAGATTAGTGCATTTTGCTAAAGCAGAACATAAGGCTAATGCACCAGTTGCACCAATTTAATTCTAACTTTTTAAATATTGAAGAAAATAAATATTTAATAATTAATGAAAACGCAAAAAATAAGAAATTAATTAATTAAAAATAAAATCAAAAGTTGAAAGACATTAAATTAAGAAAGAAAGAAATAAAATTTAAAGCACAAGAAAAAAAATAAATTAAAAGAGTTTAATTATTTTAAATTCACTTTTTTAGCTAAAAATATCACAATCTAAAATATTGTTTTTACTAAAGATCAAGTGACAAATTTGAGAGATTAGTGCATTTTGCTAAAGCAGAACCTAAGTCTGATGCACCCATGACACCAATTTTATTGTAACTTTTTAAATATAAAAGAAAAAATAAATAAATAATTAATTAATTAATAAATAAATAATAAAAGCAAAAATTGAAAAAAAAAAATTAATTAAATTAAGAAAGATAAAGAAAAAAAAAACAATAAAAAAGAAAATTAATCAAATAAATTAAAAGAAATTTATTATTTGTAATTAATTTTTTATTAAAAATATCACAATCCAAAACAAGTAATATGTTTTTACCTAAGATTAAGTGTCAAAATTGAGAGATTAGAGCAATTTACTAAAGTAGAACCTAGGCTTAATGCACATTCATCACTAATTTAATTCGTACTTTTTAAATATTGAAGAAAAAATATATAATTAATTAGTTAGTTTGAAGAAAGAAATATCAAATAATATGAAATGAATTAATTAATAATAAAAGAAAAAGCTGAAAATAAAAAATTAATTAAATTAAAAAGAAAGAAAGAAAATACAAGCAAAATAAAAAAGAAAAAGAAATCAAATCAATTAATAGAGTTTTATTGTTTTAAATTCATTTTTATAATTAAAAATAACACAATCTAAAATAAATAAGAAACTGTTTTACCAAAGACTTAAAGCCAAATTTGAGAGATTAGTGCAATTTCCTAAAGCAAAAACTAAGTCTGATGCACCATTATCACCAATTTACTAATGAGAAAAATGGACCTGCTAACCAAAGTGCATATTATTATCGAGTTAGTCCATTCCAATTTCCTCAGTTATATGACCACTTTTTATTGGAGTTAAAATTTATTATTAATTTGTTAGCTAAAATAAAAAAATGATGAAAAAATATGATATGATAAAAAATAAATTAATTAAGTAAAATTTGAAAATAAAAAAATGAGTTAAATTACCAAAGAAAGAAAAGAAAAAAAATAAAAGCAAGCACAATAAAATAAAATGAAAAATAAATCAATTAAAAGGCTATCAAATAAATTAATAGAGTTTTATTGTTTTAAATTCATTTTTATAATTAAAAATATTGCAATCCAAAACAAAAAAAGTGTCTTTACTCAATATTAAGTGTCAAATTTTAGAGATTAGTACACTTTCCTAAACCAGAACCTAATCCTGAGGCACCAATTGCACTAATTTAATTACTCCTTTAAGAAAAATATTTAATTAATTAGTTAATTAGAAGGAAAATATGTAATAATAAGACATTAATTAATTATTAAAGCAAAAATTGAAAATAAAAATAAATCAAATAGATTAAAAGAGATTTTTTGTTTTAAACTCATTTTTATGTTAAAAAATATCACAATTCAAAATTAAAAAACTGTTTTTTACCTAAGATAAAGTTTTAAATTTGAGAGATTAGTGCAATTTGCTAAAGCAGAACCTAAGCCTGATGTACCTTCATCACCAATTTAATTGGATCTTTTTAAAAATTGAAAAAAAATATATTAATAATAATTATTAAAAAAGGAAAAATTAAGAAAAATATGAATTAATAAGAAAAAAATAAATTGACAATAAAAGCAAAAGTTGAAAATAAAAAAATTATCTAAATTAAGAAAGATAGAAATAAATAAATATAAAATAATAAAAAAGTAAAAATAAATCAAATTAAAAGCTATCAAATAAATTAATAGAGTTTCATTGTTGTAAATTCACTTTTATATAAAAATTATAACAATCTAAAATAAAAAAAACTGTTTTTACGCAAGATCAAGTGTCAAATTTGAGATATTAGTGCATTTTTCTAAACCAGAACCTAAGCCTGATGCACCAATTGCGCCAATTTAATTAGCGCTTTTTAAATATTAACAAAAACATATTAAATAATATGAATTAAATAAATTAATAATAAAAGCAAAAGTTGAAAATGAAAAATAAATTAAATTAAGAAAGAAAGAAAAATACAAGTACAATAAAAAAAATTAATAAAAATCTATCTAATAAATTAAAAAATTTTTATTGTTTTATATTTATATTTTGATTAAAAATAATCACAATCCAATAGAAATAAACTGTTTTTACACAAGATCAAGTGTCAAATTTTTGAGGCTAATGCAGTTTGCTAAAGCAGAAATTAAACCTGATGCACCTTCATCATCAATTTAATTCTCACTTTTTAAATATTTAAGAAAAAATTTTTCATTACTTAATATTTAGAAGGAAAAAATAAGAAATTAATTAATTATTAATAAAATCTAAAGTTGAAAACAATAAAACGAGTTAGATTAAAAAAGATAAAAAGAATAAAAAATACAAGCACTATAAATAACGTAAATCTAATCAAAAGATATCAAATAAATTAAAAGAGTTTTATTGTTTTAAATTAATTTTTGTATTAAAAAATATCATAATCAAAACCAAATAAATTGTTTTTACCTAAGATTAAGTGTCAAATTTGAGAGTTTTGTGCAGTTTGCTAAAGCAGAACCTAAGCTTGAAGCACCAAGTGCACTAATTTCATTACCACTTTTTAAATATTGAAGAAAGAATATAAATAATAATTAGTAAAAAGAAAAAAATGGAAAAAAAAAATGAAATAATAATAATTATTATTAAAATCAAAAATTGAAATTTAAAAAATTTGTTAAATAAAAAATGATAGAAATAAAAAAAATACAGGCACAATAAAAATATTAATTAAATAAAAAGCTATTTAATAAATTAAATGAGTTTTATAGCTTTTAATTCATTTTTATATTAAAAAATATCACAATTTAAAACAAATAAACTATTTTTACTAAAGCTTAAGTGTCAAATTCGAGAGATTAGTGTAATTTGGTAAATTAGAACTTAAGGCTGATATACCTTCATCACCTATTTCATTGTAACTTTTTAAATATTGAAGAAAAAATATAAAACTAATTAGTTAGTAAAAAGAAAAACGATGAAAAAATATGAAACCATAAGAAATAAGTTAATTAATAAGGAAAGTAAAAGATGAAAATAAAAAAATGAGTTAAATTAACAAAGAAGAAGAAATAGTTCAATAAAAATGAAAAACAAATCAAATAAAAAGACATCATATAATTTAATAGAGCTTTATTGTTTTAAAACTCATTTTTATTATTAAAAATATCACAACCCAAAACAAATAAACTGAATTTACTTAAGATCAAGTGTCAAATTTGAGAGATTAGTGCAGTTTGCTAAAGTAGAACTTAAACCTGAAGCACCCATTGCACCAATTTAATTACCACTTTTGAAACATTTAAGAAAAAATATAAAATTGATTAATTTGTTAAAAGGAAAAATGAAAAAAAATATGAAAAGAATAAAAAATAAATTAAATAAAAAGATATCAAATTAATTAAATATTTGTATTGCTTTATATTCTTATTAGTATTAAAAATATCACAATCTAAAAAAAAATAAACTGTTTTTACCCAAGATCAAGTGTCAAATTTGAGAGGTTAGTGCAATTTGCTAAAGCAGAACCTAAGCCTGATGCACCAACTTCACCAATTTAATTACAACTTTTGAAATATTAAAGAAAATAATACATAATTGATTAATTAGTTCAAAGGAAAAAAAAAAATTGAAACAATAAGAAATTAATTCATAAATAATAAAAGTCAAAGTTGAAAATAAAAAAAATGAGTTAAATTAAGAAAGATAGAATGAATAAAAAATACAAGCACAATAAAAAACAAAAAGAAAAATAATTCAAATAAATTAAAAGAGTTTTATTTTTTTAAATTTGGATGAGGGGGGTAGAATAGATGGTACTCCATTCATTTTTGAATTCTAAAAAAGAATTCAATTTTAAAATAAAAACTTATTGAAATTCCTCTGGTATTATGTACCCTGCCAGTAGAATTTAAATATCTGGATTAGCTTTTTTTAGAAAAAAGAAAAAAAAAGAAGCACAATAATAAAGAAAAATAGATAAAATTAAAAGCCAATAAACAAATAAAAAGTTATGTTGTTTCATTTTTATAACGAAAAATCACAATTCAAAATAAATAAACTGTTTTTACTCAAGCTCAAGTGTTAAATTTGAGAGATTAGTGTAATTGGCTAAAGCAGAACCTAAATCTGATGTTCCTTTACCACTAATTTAAATATTACTTTTTAAATATTAAAGAAAAAATAAATAAATAATTAGTCAGTTAGATAGTTAGTTAGTTAATTAGAAGAAAAAAATAATGAATAAATAGTAAAATCTTTAGGCGAAAATAAAAAATGAGTTAAATTAATAAAGATTGAAAGAAGAAGAAAAAAATAAGCACTATAAAAAAGGGAAAGAAAAATAAATCAAATAAATTAAAGAGGTTTATTGCTTTAAAATCATTTCCAAAACAAATAAACTATTTGTACCTTAGTTTAAGTATCAAATTTGAAAGATTAGTGCAATTTGCTAAAGCAGAACCTAAGCATGATAAACCTTTATCATAAATTTAATTGTCACTTTTTAAATTTTGAAAAGAAAGAAAATAAATAAATAATTAATAAGATAGTTTGAAGGAAAAAAAAGAAAAATATGAAATGTTAAGAAATTAATTAATAATATAAGCTAAAATTGAAAATATAAAAATGAATTAATTGACAATGATAGAAAAGAAAAAAAACAAGCACAAAAAAAAGAAAAAAATAATATATCAGATAAAAAACTATCAAATAAATTAAAAGAGGTTTATTATTTTAAATTCATTTTTAAAATTAATAAATCACAATCTAAAACAAATAGATTATTAATACCGAAGATCTAGTTTTAAATTTTATATATTAGTGCAATTTGCTAAAGCAGAACTCAATTTTGATACACCGATTGCATCAATTGAATTGTCACTTTTTAAATTTGAAAAAAAAGAAAATAAATAATTAATTAATTAAAGGAAAAAATAAAGAAAAAATGAAAATAAAAAACGATTTAATTAAAAAATTAAAAAAAAAACACAAGCACAATAAAAAAGAAAAAGAAAAAGCTATCAAGCAAATTAAAAGAATTTTTTATATTAATTCATTTTTTTATTCAAAAATATCACAATCTAAAACAAATAATCTATTTTTACCGAAGATCAAGTGTTAAATTTGAGAGATTAGTGCACTTTCCTAAAGCAGAACTTAAGCATGTTGCAAGTTTATCACCAATTTTATAGTAGCTTTTTAAATATTGAAGAAATAATAAATAATTAAATAATTAGTTTGTAAGTTATTTAGTTAGAAAAAAAATGAAGAAAAAATATTAATTTAATAAGAAATTAACTAATTTATTTTTTTTATTAAAGTTATAAATAGAAAAATGAGCTTTTTTAAAATAGAAAAAAAAAAACAAGAAGGATAAAAAAATAAATCAATTAAATAAATCAAAAGAGTTTTTTTGTTTTCAATTTATTAATATTTTTATATTAAAAAGTATCACAATTCAAAATGAATAAATTTTTTTATAAAGTGAAATTATTAAATTGTAAAAATGAAGAAAAAATAATAATGAATATTAAAAATTGAAAGTGAAAATTAAGACTAAAAAATATTTATGTAAATAAAAATGAATAAATAGAGGTGATAATTTCTATTAGAAAAATAATATTAAAATTTAAATTTCCAAAAAATATTAATAAAAAAAATAATTATTAATTAATTAATTAGTTAGTTTTACCTCAGATCAATATAGAGAACCTTATGAGACTAGAATGAAGAGTTTAATAACTTTTTTTATTTTTTAATATAAATTTAAATGATACTCTTAAAAAAATAAATAATTACTTTTTCTAAATCCGTTTATTATTTAATCTATTATCTCATTTATTTTTTTTCCCAAAAATATTGAATAGTAAGTAATTAATCCAAATTTAATATATTATAAAAGGATAAAAAGAACAAATAAATTATTTAATAATTATCAAATATCAATTATTAATTTGCTTTGAAGAACAAATATCATAAAAAAGTTGTATAACATTCATTATTTAATCTAAATATTTCTATTCAAAAAGTGTATTTAAAAGTATAGTAGGAATTAAAGATGGATAGTATTAAATTGAAAAATTTTTATTAATTATATCCTTAAGTTTGAAAAAAATAATTTTTATTTTGTATGTTTTTCTATTTTAGTCCAGTGATAGTGATGAGGGGAGTATTTATATTATCTCTAATTATTTTAGTTTATTTTGAAAGCGCGCATGTGTAATTTAAGTGTATATATTGCTAATCCAGGTATTGAAATTTGAAAGCTAAGTAGCCTTCTTGCTTTTTTTATTTTAATTTGTCAGAATTTATCAGATCTACCTGTAATTTTATTAAAAAGAAAGGCTTTTTAATTTTTTGTGAAAAAATTATTTTTTTGCTTTAAAAATTTCCAAAAAATGAATGTTAATAAATATATTTAAGGGTACTAAAATAGGAGAATCTACAGTTTATTTTTTTAGAATGGTATAAATTAAATAAGATTACTTCATAAAGAAAAGCAATAATTTTTTTTAATTAATCAAAATTATTAATTTCTGATCATAATTAATTAAATAATTAATAAATAAATAATCAAAGAAATATAAATGGGAAATAACTAAAAAAAAAGTGAGTAATAGAATAACACTTAAAATATTCTATAAGATGTATCTATCATTATTAACTTTATTTATTATCATAAAATCTTTTTTTTAAATAAACAGTTAATGAAATCTAACTTGAAAGCTCAAACTCATATTGACTTACAGTTAAAGTAAGAAATATATATATAAATATTTATTTATTTATTCATTCATAATTAATGATAAATTTTTCAAAACAAACAATATTTTTTAAATAAAAATAAATATTTTAAAATTTTTTCTCATTTTAATTACAAAATTAAACATAAATAAAATTTCATACATTTTATTCATTAATTTATTCATAAATTAAATTGTTTTGTTATTATTAATAAAATAAATAGAAATTATACTCTTAGTAATAAATAAGTTGCTTAGCTTAACAATTCTTTAGTAAAATGTTAAAAATTAAAGTCTTTAGTATTAAATCTTAAGTAATAATTTATCTTTATTATCTTAAATTGCATAATTATTTTTTACTATCAATCTAACATGTAGTAAGGAAAGTATTTCAGATGATTAGATAAATTAATTATTTACTAAATATTCCTCGATAAAGAAATATGTTGAAACTGGTAATAATGTGAGGTAAATATATTTATTATACTAATTAATCTTAATATAAATAATAAATTGTTTAATAAATTATAACATTGTTTGATAATCCTAATTATTTCGACTATTTATAAAAAGCTAAAAGTTTAATCTTTAGTTATGCTAAATAAAATAATAATTTATATGTTAATTAATAATTTAATTTAATTAAAATAGCTAAAATTTTATTTATTTAAATAGCAATGATTAAATATACTCCCAAATTTTGTTTTTCCTAAATATTTTTTACGAAGGAAATCATGATTGTCAAGAACTTAGGTAAAATAAAACTAACTATTGATATTTAATTGATTTATTTTTAATTTGAAAGATTAAATGATATTGAAGCTTAAGGAAATATTCTATTAGAAGAAACTATGAGCAATCTAATTAATCTTAACAGTTTATAGCTAAATTTAGAGTATACTTTTTTTAATTTATTTATTATTTAATGTAATTAATTTCATCTTTCAAATCTCATTAACATTTTCCATTATATTTACTAAATTATATTTAGTAATATTTTATAATAAAAGTGGAAATTAATTAGGAGATGGAGGTGCAGTTTGGATTTGCAAAGTATTAAGTAGATGCAAAACGCTTAATAACTTAAATATGCAACTTTGGTAATTTTATTTCAATTATATTAAACATATTCATTCAGTAATATTTATTTATTTATAGTATTGTTTAAAAAGCATATAAATCATTTATTAAATATCTTTTTTTTGGAAAGGAAAAATAAAATAGGTGACAGAGGAATTTCTAGTATTGCAGAAGGTATTAGCAGTTGTGCTTAACTCACAACTTTAACTTTAAATGCAAGGTAAACTTTATTGATTATAGTTTATAAATTAAAAAAATATTTTAAATTTTATTTTACAAATATAATTGTAAATAAAAACTTTAAAAAGTGCTAATTTATTTGGAAAAGAAGGTGCATTTTCTATAAGTACTACATTAAGTAGTTGTAAAATGTTGACTCATCTAGATATTAACCTTTTGTAATTCATTTTAGTTTTTTTTAAGAATAAATTTAAATTAATGGTGGACAATTTAATAAATTTTTAATCCTTTTAATCTTTAAATATTTTTAAATTTGACTATTATTTTTATTAATATATCATTTTACATTTTTTTATTAGTAACAATTAAATTGGAGAAGAAGGAGCATCAGCTATTTGTAGAGTAATAGGTAGTTGTTAATTACTTGAGAATTTAAAATTTGTGCTATGGTAATTAATTTTGATTTTACATTTTTCAAAATTTAAAAAGATTTTTATATTTTGAGTAATTTTAAAATGTTTTAAATTAATTAATAAAGGATAATAAATTTATTTATTAACAAATTATTTTTAATTTATAAAGTAATAATTAAATTGGTGATAGGGTAGCATTTTGTTTTGGAACAGCATTAAGTAACTTAATGTCACTTATTAATTTAAAATTTTGTTTTAGGTAATTTTAATTTTTAAATTTTGATGATCTAATAAAATTAAATAAAATTTTTATTTTTGATATTAGTTTAAAATAATTAATTTGTTAATAATTTGATTTATTTTATTTTAAAAGTAAAAATAAAATTTCTGACGAAGGAGTTTTAAATGTTGGATTAGGTTTAAGTTAATGCATTCAACTTAAGAATTTAGATATTCGAATGAAGTTAATATCTTTTTTATTATTAAAATAATGAAATTGAATAATTTTATTCAACTTACATTTTAAAAATTTTAAATTATTAGTTTTTTTTTATTTATAAATATATTAATAAAAGATTTAATAAAATTGGAAATGATGGAGCTTCTGCTATTGGTAGTGCGATTGGTAACTGTAAATATCTTGATAATCTCTCATTTTTCATTGGGTAACATAAAGTTTATGTTTTTAATTAAATTCTAAAATAAATTTAAATAATTAATTAAACCATTTATTTTATTTTAAAAGTGGAAATTAAATTGGTAATGATGGAGCATAAAATATTGGATTATGTTTGAGTAAATGCACTCAACTTACAAATTTAGACTTTAGAATACAGTAAATTTATTTCAATTATAACTTTAAAAAAAATTAAGTTAAAGCATTTTATTTTTACTTAATTTAAAAATAGTTTTAATTTATAAAATATCTAAAATTTTGAATTAAACTTGATTTGCATATATAAAAGGTAAAATCAAATAGGAGATGATGGAGCTTCTACTATTGGTACAGCACTTGGTAACTGCAAATTGCTAACTAATCTTATATTTTACATTCAGTAAAATAATTTTTTATTTATTTATTGATAACTAAAGAAGTTTGAGTTATTTTATACATTTTGATAGAAATTTCAAAACAAATTTAAATAGTCAATAAATAAATTTATTTTGTTTAAAAAGTGCAAATTAAATTGGAGATAATGGAGCATAAAATATTGGATTAGGTTTAAGTAAGTGCACTTAACTTACAAATTTAGAATTAGCATTAGGGTAAATTTATTCCATTTATAATTTTTTTAAAAAAATTAAGTTAAAGCATTTTATTTTTACTTAATTTAAAAATAGTTTTAATTTATAAAATATCTTAAATTTTGAATTAAACTTGATTTGCATATATAAAAGGTAAAATCAAATTGGGAATGATGGAGCTTCTACTATTGGTACAGCACTTGGTAACTGCAAATTGCTAACTAATCTCAAATTTTACATTTAGTAAAATAATTTTTAATTTATTTATTGATAACTAAAAAAGTTTGAGTTATTTTATACATTTTGATAGAAATTTCAAAACAAATTTAAATAGTCAATAAATAAATTTATTTTGTTTAAAAAGTGCAAATTAAATTGGAGATAATGGAGCATAAAATATTGGATTAGGTTTGAGTAAGTGCACTCAACTTACAAATTTAGACTTTAGAATACAGTAAATTTATTTCAATTATAACTTTAAAAAAAATTAAGTTAAAGCATTTTATTTTTACTTAATTTAAAAATAGTTTTAATTTATAAAATATCTTAAATTTTGAATTAAACTTGATTTGCATATATAAAAGGTAAAATCAAATTGGGAATGATGGAGCTTCTACTATTGGTACAGCACTTGGTAACTGCAAATTGCTAACTAATCTCAAATTTTACATTGGGTAAAATAATTTTTTATTTATTTATTGATAACTAAAGAAGTTTGAGTTATTTTATACATTTTGATAGAAATTTCAAAACAAATTTAAATAGTCAATAAATAAATTTATTTTGTTTAAAAAGTGCAAATTAAATTGGAGATAATGGAGCATAAAATATTGGATTAGGTTTGAGTAAGTGTACTTAACTTAAAAATTTAGACTTTATAATACAGTAAATTTATTTCAATTATAACTTTAAAAAAAATTAAGTTAAAGCATTTTATTTTTACTTAATTTAAAAATAGTTTTAATTTATAAAATATCTTAAATTTTGAACTAAACTTGATTTGCATATATAAAAGGTAAAATCAAATTGGGAATGATGGAGCTTCTACTATTGGTACAGCACTTGGTAACTGCAAATTGCTAACTAATCTCATATTTTACATTTAGTAAAAAAATTTTTTATTTATTTATTGATAACTAAAGAAGTTTGAGTTATTTTATACATTTTGATAGAAATTTCAAAACAAATTTAAATAGTCAATAAATAAATTTATTTTGTTTAAAAAGTGCAAATTAAATTGGAGATAATGGAGCATAAAATATTGGATTAGGTTTGAATAAGTGTACTTAACTTAGAAATTTAGAATTAGCATTAGGGTAAATTTATTCCATTTATAATTTTTTTAAAAAAATTAAGTTAAAGCATTTTATTTTAATTAATTTAA